CACGGAATAGTTAGGAAAAAGGTCACTTCCCTCCAAAGCAGGGGGACGTGGGAAAAAAAACACACATACAAATACACACGAGTATTGTACAATCAGAGTTTCATAGAACAGGAAACCACTGGAAGAGGAAATGACCGCCCTGAGCCCTTGCGGGAGCCAGGACTCTGTCCTGGACACCTCTCCGCTAGGCTCCGTTTTATTGCAGACCACGTGGTACCTCTGCACTTCCTGCACTTCTGCTGCTTGGGTCTGGCCTGGAGCCACGTTGTCCTGCCTGGGATCATCAGCCTGGAGACAAGAGCCACCTAGTGAGGCTTCCTGTGGGCCTGACCTGGACGAGACATCTAGGGGATCAGTGAGTGCAGCCAGCCAGCAGCTGCCCGCTGGCGGGCGCTGCAGCTGCAATGAGTTCTTCTAGAAGGAATTCCTTTTGAGACTGAAATGAGCTTGTGGTTCAGACTCAGGTGCCTCTAGGGCTTGTCTCACATCACATCAGCTCTTCTATATTCGCCTAAATTCAACCTTCCGTGTAATGCACCTGTAACTGAGCTGACTGAGTTGCAGTTGACTAGGTGACATACAGTTATATAAATATTTATATTTGTAAAATCAGTGTTTCTGATTTTGTATGCTGGAGCCAACTTGTTTCTTTTTTTTCAGGTCCTCAGACATTTCCGAAGTCTCTTAGAACACTCACTAGCCTTGGGCTATACCGTGATATTTTATCGTAATAGGTGGTTCTATAAGTGCCCTTGAATTAGAGGATAGGTCTTTGTTGCCTGGGGATGGAAGAGAGCATTTGGAGGACACCAAATGTGTTGCTTTAAAGTTTAGCCAAAAAGGGGGCTGGTGAGATGGCTCAGTGGTCTAAAACACCTCCTTAGAACAAGCTAAACTAAACAAAAGCAGAGACCGGGGTTCAATCCCCAGCACCACATGCCAGCCAGCCCCGCCCCCTGGTGGGCTGAACTGGCCACACGCACACTAAATAAATAAATAAAGTTAAAAAAAAAAATTTGCCAAAAAACCAAAACAACAACAAAAAAAAAACTTTTGCCGGGGTTATAGCTCAGTAGAATAAGCATTTACCTGGCAAGCACATGGGCCTGAGTTCAATCCCCAATTCTGAAAAAAAAAAAAAAAAAACAAAAAACCCAAACAACTTTTGGGTTCAATCCCTGGGGCCAACCCCGGAGTATGCTGAGACTGTGATTGAGACTGGGCACAATGGTTTGTACCTGTAATCCCAGCACTTGGGAGGCTATAACAGGAGAATCAATATGAGTCCAACCTAGTAGTGAGACCTGAACACCCTGTAGACCCTTCCCTTAAAAAAATACAGAAAAAACCCCAAAACCTTTATTGATACATAATTCACATACCATAAATTCATTCATTTGAAGTTAGGAGTCCATGGATTTTGTAGTGTATTCATGAGTGTATGACCACCATTCCCATCAGTGTTAGAATATTTCCTCACTGCCCCCCTGAGAAATAGCTTTCACCAGTCATCCCCCACTAATCTGCTTTCTGTCTCTTTAGATTTGCCCATTCTGGACATTTAAGGCAGAATCATATGACACATGGCCTGACAACTTCTTTCTTTCATTGAGCATTGTGTTTCCAAGTTTGCCTGTGTTTTCAAAGCAGCTACACCATGATACATCCCCACCAGTGATGGATGAGAGTTCAAATTTCTCTGTATCCTCACCAGCACTTGTTATTGCCATCTTACTTGGTGTGAACTGACATTTTATTGTGGTCTTAATTCAAATTTTCCCAATGCCTGATGATACTGAGAATCTCTTCATGTGCCTGTTGGCCAATTATATATCTCCTTTGAGGAAATGGCTATTAGATCCCTTGTACTTTTTTTTTTTTGCGGAACTGGGGATTGAACTCAGGCCCTTGTGCTTGCCAGGGAAATGCTTATTCCACTGAGCCACCTCCCCGCCCACCCCCCTTGTACATTTTTAAAATGAATTTAAGACAGGGTCTACTGGCTGTACAAGGTATCACTGTGTAGATCCGACTTCTAGCGATCCTCCTGTTTTGAGGCCCCCCCCCCCATTGCTGGGATTACAGGTGCAAGCCACCACGCCCAGTCTTAATTGCTGTCTCAGTGCGCTCCAGGGATGGGGCTGGCACTGCAAGATGGGGATTGAACTCCGACTGCTGTGGCTTGCCAAAGCAGGTGCTTTAGTCCGCTGAGCTATTTGGCTGGCCCCCTTGTACGTTTTTAATGAGTTATTTGTCTTTTATTATTGAGTTGTAAGAATCACATATTCCAGCTACAAGTCTCTTATCAAATATAAAATTCTCAACTTCTTCTTCCCATTCTGTGGGTTACTGTATTAGTTTGCTGAGGCTTTATAACAAATCACCACAGACTGGGTGGCCTAAACAGCAAACATACTTCTCACAGTTCTGCAGGCTGGCAGTCTGAGATGAGGATTGACAGGTCTCTTGCCTCTATGGACTTTCTTCTTAGAAAGTCATATTGGATTAGAGAGCCACCCTGAGTGTCTCAGTTTAACATTAAAACCTTTAAATACTGCAAGACCTTATGCCCCCAGATGGTCATACCCCAAGATACTGGAAGCTGGGGATCAAACACATAGAATCGGAGGAAACAAAATTTGGTCCATCTTTTCACTTTTCTGTTCTTTGAAGCACACAAGCTTTAGTAATCATATAATCCAGTTTTTTGTGTTGTTGTTGTTGCTTATATTTAAGCATTACTTAATCTAAGGTCACAAATATTTATGCCTAAATAAATCTGAAAGTAGCAGTTTAGCTGTGACATTTGAGTCTGACCCATTTTGGGTTAATTTTTCTACATGGTGTGAGGTAGGGGGTCCATCTTCATTGTTTTGCATGTGGATAAACAGTTGTCCCAGCATCATTGTCTTGATGTTTTTGTACCAATTTGCCCTGGCACTTTTGTTGAACATCCAGTGGCTGTAAATGTAAGGATGTATGCCTGGGCCCTCAGTTTTATTTGGTCAATTGATATACTCATCTTCACACCCTTACTATATATATTATCTTGGTGACTTATTATCGCCTTGTAGTAAGTTTGAAAATCAGGAAATGTGAGTCCTCTAACTTCTTCTGAATATGTACACTTTACCTTTTGGTATCAAACACCATGGAAGATGTGAAAGAGCCGTGTGAAGTGGGGATTTGGGACACTTCCTCCCCCTGGAAGACTTCACTTCAGGAACACAGGCTTCTAGTTCTACGCATGCCTGGGAGAGATGGATTACCATCCTCTCAGCCCACAGCTCTTCATTATAAATCAATGGAAACATTCTGCAGAGAACAATGGTACCCTTAGGGTATTTTAAGCCTCCCTTTAAGTCTTCCCCACCTGCTCTGCTCTCTAATTGCTCCTACAGAAACAGTGTGTCACAACTGGATTATTAATGAACTGAGAGGGCGTTGAGGGCAAAAGAAGGGGATGTCAGAGGACTTGACTAGGGCCCACAAGCCTACAGGGTTTTGCATCTCCAAGAAAAATTAGTGAGTTTCATTAGCAAATAGGAAACCACTAAGCTCAGGTTTTAGCCTGAGTTTTAGGCTAAACCACTTTGGCCACTTTAGGCAACCACTTTGGCCTCAACAGACTATTGCCTGTAACAACCCAGAGCTCTTCAAACTAGACTTCTATGAACTGAATTGAATGTACACAACTTCAAATTCCCCAAAAACCTCATCGTGTGTGTGTGTGTGTGTGTGTGTGTGTGTGTGTGTCCCGCCTCCAGTCAGCCCTGGGGTTCTAATCCCTGGCCGGGAGAGCTCAGGAAACAAAGCCCTTTGTGAAGAAGAGAACGCCATTGTTCTAAGGTCAGCGCTCAGCCAGGGCGGATTCCAGAGAATGTTTTGGGATCCCCCAACCTTTTGTTTATTAACTTTCTCTCCTCTTCCTGGTGGGAGGAGGGGTTGGTTCTCAACAGCAATTTATTTTTATTTTTTTATTTTTGTCGGCACCGGAGATTGAACTTGGGTCCTTGTGTTTGCCAAGCAGGTGCTTATGTCACTGAGCTATCTTCCGGTCCCCATCAACAGCAATTTAACGATAGTAAAATCTATTGTCCTGTAAAGAAAGGCGTAAAGTGCGGGGGCTTCTGCCCTAGAAGAGTCTAGAGTATGTTTTTTTTTTTTTTAATTTTATTTATTTATGTGTGTGTGTGTGTGTGTGTGTGTGTGTGTGTGTGTGGCCAGCTCAGCCCACCAGGGGGCGGGGCTGGCTGGCATGTGGTCCCTATGCTTTGCTAAGTTTGTTCCAAGTAGGTGCTTTAGACCACTGAGCCATCTCACCAGCCCCTAGAGTATGTTTTGCATTGTGCTTTTGCACGCAATCTCAGGGAACCAGCCAGGTCTAGATCCCACACATCTCAAACCACAGTAGACGTCAGCAGAGGTGCGACCACTTCCTTCCTTCTTCTACTTAGCTCCTTTCTTTCAAGAAAGAGGAAATAATCTCACTCCACGTTGCAGGCTGGGGCCTCCATGCCCCATTGTGTGGCTCTCCCTACTGTGAAATCTACCCTATCCTCAGGGTCAGGCCCGATCGAGTCTCTGGATGTCCTGGGAAATTTTTAGACTCAGGTTTGAGCTCCGTGAAGACAGGAGACTAGACTTCTGGCTCTGGCACCGTTCTGTGTGATCCAGGCCAGGTTAATGCTCTTTTCTGGGCCTCATGATGCCCATCTGTCAAATGGGAGCAAGAATACCATCCTCGGCTTCCCGTTTTCCACGAGGTGGGACCAAGGAAGAGCTCGAGAAACAGCTCTTCCGAAACCTGGCTTCAACCCGGCCCCTTTCACTTTTCCGCAGCTCAACGTTGGGTCCCCACCCCTAGAGCGCGGGGACCCTTTCCACCTTCCCTGTCTCAGAGCCGGATGGGGCTGTGTGTGCCCACCCCTTTCCTGAGACTCAGGCCCCGCCTTGAGGGAGGAGCCGAGAGCAGCGCCGAGGCTCGCGGTCTAGCAGAGCTGGCTCTGTAGCTGCGCGAGCTGCTGCGGCTTGGGGTCCTAAGGACTGAGCCAGGGCCGGGAGCCGCCCGGGGCAAAGCTCCGGAGAGCGGTGAGTTCCTCGGCGACGCCGCCTCCTCCCCTGGGCTCTGTGGCTGGACTGGGCTGGGGACGAGGATCGGGGCAAGGAGGTGATGCTTTGAGCCACTGATAAACTGGCTGGGGGGCGAGGGCCCCTTTGGCGAAGGGTCGGTGGCTTAAGATAATTCGAGGTTGGGTGCTCTGGAAAGGCGGGTGTCGGGAGCGCAGGGCCGGGGAGCTGGGCCCGCTTGGGGGCGTTCTTCTGCGTCGCGCGCTCCCTCGGGGAGGCTGGGGTAGGGGGTGCGGCGGCAGGTTGTTGGCTGGGGCTGCGGTGACCCAATCTCGGGCTGGGCGGGGGTCCTTCGCTGACTCTGGACTCGTGGGCTGCGTCTACCGAGGTCGCAGTGCCGGCGACTGCAGCCTCAGAGACCAAATCCCGCGGCGCCCAGTCTTGGGGCCGGGCACCGGGCGCCGCCCCCTCGCGTGGCGCTGCTAGGTCTCTGCAGGGCGCACGGAGCGCTCTTGCCCGGGCGGGAAAGGTCTTCAGGGCAGGCGCCCAGCGAGCAGGTCTCACCAGCCGCGGGAGCCTGCGACCGTGCCCTCCAGCCCGGAGAGACTGCGCGTGGAAGCCCCAAGAGCCGGACGCCCGGCCTCTCTCCCGGGCCGCCATGCGCGGGCTGCTGGGTCCCCCGCGCCGGGAGCGCTCCTCTCTTCCGAGTCCCGCGCATCCGCTCCCGCAGCGAGGAGCGCCCCCGAGCGCTTAGGATGGGCTGAAACCGTGTGGGTCTGTCAAGAGAGATCGCGCAGACGGGTCTTCCCCAAGGTCACCCGGAGTGCCTAGATAGCCCCGTGACGAGGGAGAGAGGGGGACGCTCTGCTGTCCTCCCTCTTCCTAATGCAGACTCTTCCTCCGCTCTCCCTTTTGGGCCTGGCCTCCGGCTTCACTGGAGATGTGGATAATGCAGCTACCAGCCCAGGAGGAAAATTGAACCAAAGCAAGCTGTGAATCTGGCGGTCCCGGGAGCCCCGCGGCGCGCGGCCGCCACGCGCCAGGCCCGGGACCCGGTGCTCCCTGGCACCGCGGAGCGGAGGGAGAGAGATGCAGCTGCATAAGCGCTTCTCAGAATCGAAAGCCCGACTGCTTGTGCGCCCATGTGATTCAGTTCCACATAATGGGCCCCTGTTCTTGCTGTCAGAGGCGCCCACCAGCTCCCAGCGGCCTGGAGCGCCAGGTGCTGCTTCTGTGGAGAACCCCGGGGCTCCGAGGTACTAGGCTCACTCTTTGGCGGAGCTCTCTTTGGAAAGGCCCTGCAGTGAGCGGCTGGGCCCGTGAGGGTCCCCTCTGAGTGCCCTGCCGTTCCCTGCAGCCGGTGAAGCCCCGGGGAAACCCCTTTCTAGGCTGGTAACAAAGCTTCTCCACCAGACCACGGTCTGGCGGTCTGCTGCGGGCAAGGCGCTCGACCTCTCGCGTCTCAGTCGTCTCGAAGATAGTACACAGAGCAGGCTGTAGGGTGATGAGTGAGAGGCCGCGTGGAAAGCCAGGCGCCGGAGAGCATGGGAGGGGGAGCGGGGTGTGTCTCTCAGACAGGTGCAGAAGGGGAGTCCTGGTGGGCGGTTCTGCGGGGCTGGGGGAGTTTCCATATCGTTCTCCCTCACTCACAAAGCATCAGCTTGTAGGAGGCAGTGAGGGGCAGTGAGCCCTTGACGTGCGCTGCCTGCAGGGCCTTTCCCACACACACTCCCACTCTTGTCACCCAGATACCATCTTCTCTGCCCCAGTCCCTAGGACTCTGCAGGCACACTGTCAACTAGGTCAATCGGACCTTCAAGGCTGTGCTTTCTTGTCTACTGCTGCTGTCTACCCGACTGTGTGTACCCCCAACCCCGGGCTTCCTGATTCCAGCTCTTCCCAGCCTATGGAATGTTCTTTAGCAAGCCCACCTGCTTCTTCCTTCCTCTCCTTGGGTTCCCTCCTGCTGTGGCATTTCTTTGTGGCGCTGGGGTTCAGGTGCCAGCCCTCTATGCTTCCTGTTGTGTCCCTGGACTCCAAGTTCATAGTAAGCAAGGCACATGCCCGGTGCCCACTCAGACTTT